GAGGGGACAGGATCCCGCTCTGCGGCCCCAGCTTTGCTCCTCCAGGCCAGTGAAAGGCTACGGCCGCAGCACAGCCCCACTGTGCTGTCTGGTCACCACTCCCACTGCCTCAGTGACAGCAATGTCCCCATGGAGATGGTCCGGGGCAGCGACACCCTGGCACCGTTCCCTCAGAAACAGCCCCCATGCCCCTCTGGTCCTTGGGTCAGGTCCCTCATGCTGAGCTGGGAGCAGATCCCACCTTTCCTCTCTCCCTGCAGCTGCCCCCTCTCTGTCCCAGGCATCCAGAGCACGGCCCCTGCCCTCCCAAGGGCAGCTCAGGCTTGGACAGAGGAACAGCCTTGAGAGCCTGAAACCATGGGCATGGACCCTGCTGCCCCACGCTCCTCCTCCTGGCACCTCCCCTGACCCAGAGCCCCCACCAGAGCTGCCCAGAGCACTGCCAGGGTGATGTCCTCGTCTGTCTCCCCTCTGCTCCCATCTCCCCCAGACCAGCTCTGCCATTTCTCTCCTTGCCCTGGCTCCAACTCCCACCATGCCTGGATGCTCTCTACCCCTTGCTGCTGGTGGCCTGTGGTCAGGCAGTCAACAAGGGGGGACAAGAGACAGCAGGCAGCACACACTTTTGTCCCCCCCAGCTCTGCCTCGGCCACTCCTTGACACCTCACAGCAGCCCTCGCCTTGACTGGAGGCATCTTTCCCCAGAACCCACCTCTGCGCCCAGCCCTGGCGCTTCGCAGTTGCCCGGCCAGGAGGGCCAGAAGAAGGCAGAGAAGGGCCCCCAGGATGATGCACATGATGATGGGCAATGAGAGTCTCCCACTGCCAGTCGGACGTCCCCGCGTGGGATCTGCATGGCAGGAGCACAAAAAGGGCAGCAGAAGGCCTGGCAGAGGTGTGGGGCTGCGACGCCCCATTACATCAGGGGGCAGGGGACCCCAGGAGCTGAGTGATGAGGAAGCTCCCACCCTGCTGGAAAAACAACAGCCCTCCCCAGTGCTCCCCCTACTGCAATCCTGCTGCCTTCTCCTGGAAGTTTCACATCCTGGCAAGGAGCCCCTTCCCTCCAGCTCTGGGTCACAGCTGGCCCCAAGAAGACCCAGCGCTGGTGGGGAGGACAGGTTACCTGCTCGGGGGGTTGGTGCTGCCGTCTTGGGTGCAGCTGCAGAGGAGGAGAAAGAGAGCTGGGCTGAGAGGAGGGGTGTGCAGGTACCAGGGAGCCGCCTCTCTGACACGCTGTCTGTGTGCATCTTGCCCTGACCCAAATTGCCCCTCCTTCCAGGCTGTTCAGGGTGGCCAGGAGAGCGCCCAGGGCTCTGCTCTGGGTATTGGGCAGGATGGTGCAGGTCGCCTGGGACATGGCCCTGGGGGCTGCAGGGCCCTGCAGGCAGAAGCCGGAGCACATCCAGCCCCAGAGAGGCTGCTGCTTGCTGGGCACCGGGCTCCCATGCTCCAGAGGGATGGCCTTTCTCTCAGGAGCTCTGGAGCCATGCTGGGAGCCAGCAGGGAAATGGCCTTCCCGGGCTCCTGGCCAATTGCCCCGTCAGGGCTCCCAGTTCTGCCGCTCACCTGAGCAGTTCACGGCAGCGTCCTCCTTGTGGCGGCAGGCCCCGCTGTCCCCAGGCCGAGCCCAGCAGTGCTGGAGAGACGGCTCTGTCCCCCAGCACTCCACCTGCTCCAGCCAGATGGGGCCCGTCCCCTCCCCAAAGGCAGCCCTGCCCAGGGCAGACTGTGCAGGGCCACAGCCCAGCTGCCTGCAGGCCCCCCGGGCCTCCTGCAT